GGTGAGGCTTTCTGCAAAGTGACGGCTCCAAAGAGCCATTTACCTGTTTATTCATACTTTCCACCAAATGCTTATTTTTCTTTACAGCGAACCCAATATTAAATATGCAGCCAGTTTTATTTATTTTTGCGAAGAACCCTGACCTGTAAAAGCCCTTTTCTTTTCATCTCGGTTTCAAAACAATTCATTCCTGCATTTTAGAAGTTATGCAAATGAGCTTCCCTTGATTTTAGAGGATTTCTCTGGAATTGATTTTGGGATTCTGTATTAATTACCACTACCCAGGCACAAGGGCTGTCACAGAATGGATATATTCAGCAAGAATGACAAGGCTGATAATTATGCACAAGGAGCCTTAGAAAAGGGGTTGTTTACTTTGATGTTTAATTTCAGCAGACTTCTTTAGTTTGTTAAACTTAATCAAAAGCAATCAAAATACACTGGTATAAATTACAGCAAATTAATTTCAAACCAAGGGCAAACATCATGTCTTTCGAATGAGCATGTTGAGCTGGGACGTCTAGCAAGCCACTCCAGGCAGGGAAGGGGCAGCCTTCCGGGGGCAGGACGCTGGTCTGGAGCTTGCTTAGGGTCCCGGGGAAGACTGGGCGGGGTTCCGTGAGGAACTAAGCTTTCAGGAAAGACTGAGGCCTAGGAATGACCTTCATTCTGGGGTTTAAGGCAAACTCACTCTGTGACGTGAGAAAGTCACTTAAACCCTTTTTCTTGGGGCCTCAGTTTCCTGATCTGTTCAACAACCTAATTCTTGCCTTGCTACTATTATTAGTAAAGAACAATTTAGGGGCCGGCCCAGTGGCGTGATGGTTAGGTTTGTGTGCTCCACTTTGGTGGCCTGGGGTTCACTGGTTTAGATCCTGGGCACGGACCTATGCACTGCTCATAAAGCTGTGCTGTGGTGGCATCCCACATAGCAGAACTAAAAAGACTTACAACTAGGATATACAAGTATGTACTGGGGCTTTGGGGAGGAAAAAAGGGGGGAAGATTGGCAACAGATGTTAGCTTGGGGCCAATCTTCCTCACCAAAAAAGAAAAAAGAACAACATACCTTTATCATCACATTTACTCTGTGCCAAGTTCTGTGTGTCCTCATTTCCCTCAATGAGGTTGGTGCCCCCTTGAACAGGTAAGGATTCAGTTCCAAGACTCTTTGAGCCCAGCTACTCTCACTCCAGATCACCACTCTGGGAACATTGTGTTTATTTTCTGCAGACTTCTTTGGTTTGACAGCTTAATCAGAAGCAATCAAAATATGCTTATGAACATATAGAAAATTAATTTAAAGCCAATGCAAAAGATTATATTTCCCTAGCATGGAGAATCAAGTGAGAAAATGGCTGTGAAAATATTTTGTAAAATGTTGACTGCTATGCAAATGAACATTACTAACAGTGAGAGAGCAAGTCTAGCAGATGACGCAGAGGCCAGTTCTGCAGAAGACACTCAGCTTCTCCAGCTCGTGACTCACTCTGGGAGGCTAGGTTTATTTTATGAGATTTGTAGTTTAATGGGGCCCATTGAGTCATTCACGCATCGATGCGTTGAACACATTTTCTGAGTTTATCTACCAAGATGGAGGTCCATGGAGAGGGACACAGAGCTTGATAAGATGTCATCTTGACCTCTGGGAGCCCACAATGTAGCAACAGAGACAAAGAAATCATCATGATAATCTAAGGATCCATGAGTAGGACCAAATGATGATGCTTGTTTGGCACTGTTTTAAGGACGGGAACTTTGTTTCATTCACCAGTGTGTCCCCAGCACTCAGCACACAAACTGGCCACAGAAAGTATTTGGTAAATTTGGCCGAATGAATGAATTTTAAATGGGTCCTGGATATCAGGTGGCATCGAGTGGATGACAGTCAACTGACCCTTGTAGAGAAGAATATGGTGTTTAAGAGTGGAGAGGTTCTGAGGGACGCCCCAGGGTGCAGGAGCAGCGTGTGGTGTTGGAGGGGCCCGTTCACTTGGGTGCCGCATTGGAAGCGGTGGATGGTTGACTGCGGCCGCTGGGCTCGGTTCTCAGGCTACAGAGGGTGGCGTTGATTCTGTAGGTTTTGGGGGAAGGGAGGGGCCTAATTCTGTGAGAGTCTGCCGTGCTCTTGAGCCAGACTGCCCGGGGTTTGAATCTCTGTTCCACTCTTTGCCAGTTGAGTTTCTTTGGGCAATATTACCTAACCTCTCCGCCTTGATATCCTCAAGTGTAAAATGGGGTTCACCATTGTCTCGTTTCGTGGGGTGGTTGTGAGAATTACACAGACTGTTAAGTTTAAAGCACTTAGGAGCACGCCAGATGCATAGTTAGCCCTGAGTCGGTGCTAGCTGTCATGATTAATCGGTGTTTGATGGCCTGGGTGGGAGTCCTAGCTTTGCCACTTGTCAGCTATGTACACAATGACCCAATGGCTGAAGCTCTCCAGTCTTGCTTTTCCTCTTTTGTAAACGGGGCAGTGGAAGGGCATCTGCCCCTGGGGAGGGTGAGATGGGACCGTGCACGCAGTTTGCACAGTGCCTGCCTGAGAGCAAGGCAAACCAGACTGCAGCTTGCGGCGGGAAGACTACCGCGCACAAGAGGAAGGTTGGATGAGACTGAGAGGCCGGGGACTTGCTTGGAGGCCGTTTGAATTGTCAGTGTGAGAAACAGTGAGCTAAGCTTTTGTGAAGCGGTGAGAATGAAGCGAGCTAAGAAAATGAAGCGGTGACTGGGCGATGGAGAGAAAAGCGGGGGTGGATCTGAGAGACTTGCCTGCTTGTCCTGGAGGCCTACACGAGGGACGAGGACAGTGTGGTCTCTAACCTGGCTCCTGGGAGCACGTGTCTACATGGACTGAGACGGACAATCCAGGAGAAGCAGGTTGGGGCTGAAGAACTGAGATGATGGTGATGCAGGCATGTGGTTAGAGCGTTTCAGAGAACCTCTCATAAGCCAGTCATGTTTTAACAGAGTCTGCATTTTTAGGGAAACTAACTTACCCATGTTACTTCTTTTTTTTATTATGGTAAAATATGCATAACATAAAATTTACTATTTTAACCATTTTTGAGTGTGCAGTTAGGTGGCATTAAGTTCCTTCACATTGTCGTGCAATCGTCACCACCATCCATCTCCAGAACTTTTTCATCTTCCCAAACTGAAGCTCTGTCCCCATTAAACACTAATTCCCCGTTCCCCCACCGCCCAGCCCTGGCAAACACCACTCAACTTTCTGTCTCTATGAATTTGACTACTCTAGGGACCTCATGTAAATGGAATCACAATATTTGCTCTTTTGTGACTGGCTTATTTCACTTAGCATAATGGCTTCAAGGATCATCCAAATTGTAGCGTATGTCTAAATTTCCTCTTTTTCTTTTTGGTGAGGAAGATTGGCCCTGAACTAACATCTGTTGCCAGTCTTCTTTTTCATTGAGGAAGATTGTCCCTAAGCTAACATCTGTGTCAGTCTTCCTCTGTTTTGTATACGAGACGCTGCCATAGCGTAGCTGAAGCGTGACGTGTGGGTCTGCACCCAGGACCCAAACTCGTGAACCCCAGGCCGCTGACGTGGAATGTATGAACTGAACCACTACGCCACGGGGCCAGCTGCCAAATCTCCTCTTTTTAAAGGTTGAGTGGTATGCTATTATATGCACAAACCATATTTTGTTTACCCATTCATCTGTCGATGGACATTTGGGTTGCTTGTACCTTTTGGTTATTGTAATAATGTTGCTGTGAACATTGGTGTACAAACAGCCATTTTCAAGGCCCTGCTGTCAATTCTTTTGTGTATATACCCAGTGAAATTGCTGGATCACAGTGGAATGTTGTGTTTAATTGTTTTAGGAACTATCATGCAGTTTCCCACAGGAGCTACATCATTTTGCGTTCCTGTAAGCAATGCGCAAGGGTTCCTATTTCTCCGCATCCTCACCAACACTTCACTTCTTATTTTCTGTTTTGGTTTTTTTGATAATAGCTATCCTAATGGGTGTGAAGTCATGTCTCATTGTGGTTTTGATTTGCATTTCTTTAGTGACTAATAATGCTGAGAATCTTTTCATGTACTTATTGGCTATTTTTAATTTTTTTTAAAGATTGGCACCTGAGCATCTGTTGCCAATCTTCCTTTTTTTTTTCCTTCTTCTCCCCAAAGCCCCCCGGTATGTAGTTGTATACCTTAGTTGTGGGTCCTTCTAGTTGTGGCGTGTGGGACGCCGCCTCAGCGTGGCCTGATGAGCTGTACCATGTCCGTGCCCAGGATCCGAACCGGCAAAACCTGGGGCTCCCAAGGCATGAACGTAACCACTCGGCCACGGGGCCGGCTGCCCTATTGGCTATTTGTCTATCTCCTTTGGAGAAATGTCTATTCAAGTCCTTTGTCCGTTTTTAAATCAGGTTGCTTGATTTTCGTTGCCGAGTTGTAAGATTTCTTTATGTATTCTGTATGTTAATTCCTTATCTGGTAAATGATTTGCAAATATTTCCTCCTCTTCCGTGGGTTGCCTTTTTACTCCTCTGAGAGTGTCCTTTGATGCACGGCAGTTTTTAATTTTGATGAAGTCCAAATTATCTCCTGTTGCCTATGCTTTTGGTGCCACATCTAACCACGTTACTTCTTGTATCATGTAAGAAAGAGCCATATTGTTATGCTAAGCTTCTGGGATCATGTTACAACTACATGTCTGAGCAAATCTATTTTATAATTCTCTTGGGTTATTTTAGTTGTTAGACATACGGAGGTACAATGTCAGGCTTGAGATCCTGGTACTTTTCCCTCTGAATTTTCTCATGTGTGTCAGTGGTCCCATCAATCTTCTAGTTCCCAGGCAATAATCACCCTTGACTTCTTGTCCCTCTCCTTTCATGGCCAGCTGTAGAAACTGCGAAATTGTTTCCCTTGTCCTCCCGAACAGCTAGACTACGTTTCCTGCCTCCTAGCAGTTACATGAATGAGGTCTGGATAAAAAAATCTGCGCAGAGAGGATGTTTACTACCTTCTGGGCGGTGGTAAAAGTTTCCATGCAACTCTCCATGCTGTCTCTCTTCCCTTATCTGCTGCCCATATGCAGAGTGGAGACGTACCCAGTGGAGGTCTGTGCGGACCATGTTGGGGCCACAAGGTGGAAGGACCCTGGGTCCCCGAATGTCTGCGTGGATGAAGCCCCTGCATTCACCCACATTGTGCTGGGATGTGAATGAGAAGCAAACCTTCCCTGAGGTAAGCCCCTGAGACCGAGTGGCTGTCTGTTACAGCAGGCAGCCTGTGCAGACTAACCCACCAACAATTCGGAAGTCCTTCAAGGCGCCTTCATGATGTCCCTCCTGTGCCCTCTTTTCCATGCCTACTGAGCTGATTTTAGTCTTGTGCTTGCCCCCCACACCCCCAAACTGCTATGGTGCTTTACGAACTGGATTACCTGCTTCTAATCTTTCCTCTTCTAGTTCACCATTCATGCTCACAGAAAATAAGTATTTCTAAGAGGATAAAAGCTTGATATGGCTTTTGTTTAAAAATTTGTGTTACTAAGGCCTTTCTCCGTAGAACGCTTCTTTCCTCTCCAACCCCTCATCCACGGAACACTTACCATCCTTCATGCACCCGTGCTTTCTTTTTTTATTCTCTTAAATCTTGGCTCCATCTATTCCTCCTCCTATCTCCTTATCTAAGGCTTAACCATCCTGCAGGTCCAAGGGTTCCCCTTCCTCCAGGAAGCCTTCTGAGAATTCCTGTCTTACTCTCTGTTTCCTACCTTAGGCACTAGATGCACATTACTCTTTAGTTCCGTGCTTCATGTCTTCAAATTTGGGGTTCATCAACGGGATACAGGAATTTCCTGAAATTGTGTGCAAAATTCTGTCAGTACCTGTGTGTATTTTGGTTTTTTGAAGAGTGGCTGGACTTACAGACTTCACACGTCCCTTCCAGTGCTGAAAGTCCATGAGAACAGGATAGGTATCATCCTTGCAAAACAATTCATGAGAGCAAGAGTAGCTGTAATGCCTCAGAGGTGGGAAGAGCTAGGGCGGAGGCCAAGCCGGCTCACATAGAAAGCCGTTGTACTCTTCCCGCATTAACAGGAGCCACTGCCAAGCTTCCGGAGCGGCGTCAAGAACTTCTGCAGCCGAGTGGCTCCCGTCTGTGGCGCAGCCTCCCTTGGCTCCCAGGAGGCAGGTGGTCTGTGGAGCTGAGCAGAGTGAGTCCGAGCCTTTCCAACTTACTTTACTCCTGACCCCCCTCAGAGCTGCCCGGGGCGGGAGGGCTAGTTCTTGCCAAATGCTGGGGCAGGAGAATAGTCCCGTCTGGTCATTCCATGGAGATAATTCCACATTTGCCAGCAACCCCCCTTTCCGTTATTTCATCCCCATACTCACAAGATCCATCTCCCCTCTAGGGTCCCCTGATCTAGGCCTGGTGGACCCTGACGCTTGTCCTCCGCGAGGGAGCGCTGGCACAGCCCCGCTGGACCCCTCTCCTCTGCCACTTGACCGTTTGCGCAGCGCCTGTCCTGGCAGCCAGCAGGCACTGGCTTCCTTCTTCCTCTCCGGCTCTTGAACGAGAGTAAATTCTTAATCAAAGGCCGGGCACCTCATCTGTTTCCAGTTGCTTCTCTGTTGTGAAGAAGAGAGGCTCACAGGAGGGAAACGTCGCCCCGCACCCCGCCTGGCTCTCACACCAACTGCACGCGCACGCACGCCCCGCAGTCGGACTCGGCGCTCTGTTCACATAATTCTATTGACATTTTGAGGCTAAAATTATGTATGCTACTTTAATTTGCTGTTAAATTAAATTATGAATGTTTGGAACGTAGTAATTTCTTTGTTCTATGAACAGATTGTTTTATATATCTGCCTATATTACCAAGTTATTAATTTAATGATTTCATAATAGCAGCTCATTCCTCTGGGTAATATAAGGGCTGAAGTGCACGCTCTGTACAGCACAGGCAGATACTGCTTACCCTACGTGAATGGAAGGTTTTAGGAATAAAGACATTAGTTTTGGCAGAATGTTAAGTGTGCATCTGGAAACTGCAGGGATGTGTCAGGTCAGCTCGGGCTTCCCGATCTCCTTTTCAAAAGGTGGGACACAGTCTATTGCCCATGAGACCAAATGAAAAATAATTTTCTTAAATGAAGTCAAGCACCTGGCTGAACACTGGCAGGTTTGAGAGCTACCGCCTGCCCATTTTCTCCTGCAGTTCTGGATGCAGTGTAGGTTCAGCTGGGGTCTTTCGTCCCGTGGGTCTGTTGGGCTATTATCCTGTCAGCATCCTGGAGACGTGCTGCCATGGCAACATGGCGTTAGCTGCATCGTCCTGCTCCTCGCTGGCACCCAACCCTACTGTGGGGAAAGGGCAACGGGCCAGATGCTGTGTGGTGCCGGGGTGGAGCGTGGAGTCTGGCTTCAGAGGAGGCTTCCTCCATCCCTGGGACTTGTGGCTTGGGCTCTCTGAGCCTCAATTCCCTGATCAATAAAACCAGGGCATTGAGGTCACCTGCCCAACCAGTTTTGTGCGTGTTGTGTGGCCACACAAGAAATGAGATGAGGACGAGAAAATGCTTTGCAGTTGCTAAGAGTCAGGGCTCTTGAGGGCTGTGTTGTGTGGGACGTGTGCAGGTACCCCAAAAGGGCACACATCACATGAAAGCAACAATTGTGCTTCTCCCCACAGCCTCCGGGACCCACTGCTCTTTGGGCCTCAGTTCCTGCAGTTGACTCCTGAGGTTTGAGCTTGGTGACTGCTAAGGTTCTCCTCATCTCTAGTAGTTCTGGACTCTCTTATTTTTCAGGAGAAGCTACCAACATGCTTCATTTTAGTTGGAAAGACAGTGCTGAAGGTGGAGTCACAACGTATCAAGTTGTTAACAAACCTTGAGCACCTCTAACTCAAAGAGAACTGATTTCCAGCTGCAGATACAGCAGTCTCCAACAGGCACCGTTTCACCTCCTCCAAGCCCATGGTCTAAGGGGAATCAGGTGCTGAACAGGCCATCATGTTGCCCTGCGGTGAGGGGGAGGCTGTGCCCACCCTGACTGGGGCAGGAAAGGGGACGGGAAGCCGAGGCTGAGACCTCAAGTTTGACTATGGATCAGTCATGCAAAGAGGAGGTTCAGGGGTGGGAAGGGCAAGGCGTTTAGGAAGAAGAAAGAGCATGTGAGAGATGGAGGTCGGAGAGAGCAATGCTGCGTGGCTGGGGCATCAAGCCTGGGTCTGGAGGGCGAGCATGAGATGCCCGGCTGGAGGAATCAGCAGGGGCCGGCTCTGGCCCGTGACAGCCTCACAGGCAAAGGCAGTGGGGGCCGCCGAAGAAGAGAAGGGATTTGATTTGTGCCTCAGAAAGGACACCATGGCTGCGGTGGGAGAAAGGGCTGGAAGAGGGTCAGATTGGAGTTGGGAGGCTAGTTAGGAGACAGTGTAGTGAAAGGTGAGAGATGAGGGTCTGATTTACGTGGTGATGATGCAGAGGGGAGAAGTCCACAGATGCACGAGGTGCTCAGAAGGAAGACTTCACAAGGACTGGGTAGATGGGACAAAACAGAGGAGTTGTGAAGGTGGGGCTAGCAGAGGTCTTTGAGGTTGCCCTTTGCCCTCTGAGTTCTTCCCTCTCTGGCTGTTCCATCATTCCTCAAAATGAAGCACTGACACCAACCCGCCCCCCCAAGGCCGACACACACTGACGCCTGTACAGGCGCAGGTTCTCGCCCACACACAGACACACACATGCCGCAGCCGCTCTGTGTGCGCAGGAGGCAGGCAGAGACTACTTCTCTGCAGAGCTGACAGGTTGCAGAGTCAGAAGCAGTGTCACTGCTTACACTTTCTTCACTTGTGCTTTTTGTCTCTGCATGTCACTTCTATGAAATATTCCTGATCTCCTCAGGAAAATCAAGAGTTCCTTTCTTCTGTGCTTTGCTATCATTGCCTTTGTTATCATTGTCTCTGTGTCCATGTTGGTCTCATGCACTGTGGTGTGTCTTAATCACTTCTGGATTCCCGGTGCCCAGCACCACGTCGCATGCTGCTGCAATCGTCACTGTTGAATGACTGATGAGTCGATGAAGCCCCAAGGCACTGGGTCTGATCCCTCAGGAAAGGAATTCTGCAGTATCCTTCCAGCTTCCCTCAGCAAAAGCCTGGACCTACTGTTTGGAGATGTGAGGCACTAAGTTGTCAGAGTCTGGTGCCAAGCATCCTCCTCAATTGCAGGAGCCAAAGCCAGACCCCCTTTGGGGCCACAGAGGGGAGTTACAAAGTAGCTGCTTTGTAAATGTAAATTAATGTTCGCTAAGTCATTAGCTCGTGGTGGGCAAGGTGGAGAACAGAAAGGGAAAGAGAGGAGTGGGGTTGTTTGTCCTTCAGGTGGGAGAGGGTAGGAGCTATAAAAGAGGGAACGCCTGCTTAGGCACGAGACAGATAGACATGCTTTTCCCAAGCAGGTACAGGAAGAAGTCAGCTAGGACCCAGGGGGGTGGAGAGCAACTGCTCTGAGACACAGACGAGACAGAGAACAGGGCAGAGCTTGGAGTGAAGCATCCATCAGGACAGGATGTGTTTGTTCTGTTAATGGCTGTGTGCCAGTGTCTGAGGCTGGCACTTCACAGGTAGTCAGTACAAGTTGAATGAATGCTGGGTGCTGTCTCTGAGAATCATGCAGAGGTGGCGGGAGGAGGGGTGCCAGCAGGTAGGAGAAGCGTGCAGTCTCCCGGATCCAGGTCTCAGGACTGGCCTAGAGGGAAAGCGGGATTGAGGCAGATTCGCGGTACTAGGTTGCATTCCAGAATAATTCCCAGCGCCCTAAGCCAGTGCCCCAGGAATCCTCTGTCAGCGGTAAATTATTGCTTCTATGCTCAATATCACGGACCAAGAGACTGATGACTCAGAGACCCCTAGAGGAAGGGCACCGGGCAGGAGTCAGGGACAAGGCTGTGGGTCCATGGCATCCGAAAGAATGCCTCAGTCTGTAGAAGTGGAGTGGTCTTCAGAGAAGTACAGGGGGCCTTAATTTAATTTTATTTTTTTTGTGTGAAGAAGATTGGCCCTGAGCTAACATCTGTGCCAATCTTCCTTTATTTTGTATGTGGGATGCCGCCATAGCATGGCTTGATGAGCCATGTGTAAGTCCGCACCCGGGATCTGAACCTACGAACCTTGGGCCTCTGAAGTCGAGTGTGCGAACTTGACCACTGTGCCACCAGGTTGGTCCACGGAAGACTTAATTTTTATTGCAAAATGTCAGGTCTCCCTTTTGTGCCTCACAGAAAAATCAGCTGTGTGTGTGAGAATGGGGGTGAGGAGGGCTTATGCTTAAAATCCAGGAAGGAAAGAGTCCGCCTGCCCGCTGTCTATCTCCAAGCAGGAAAAGCCGGGACTTGTGAGAGGCCGTTTGGAGCACTTCGGAGTCTGGAGCCCTGGGCCGTTTAATGTTTCCGGCAATGAACTGGATGATGAAACGGAGGGCACGCTCATTAATTTCAGAGATGACACCCAGCTAAGGCTGGAGGGGCACCTTGGAGGACTGGATTAGCATTCAAATTGACTTCAGTAGGTCTCAGAGATGGGTCAGAAACCAACCAAGTGAGATTCCAGAAGGACAAGGGTAAAGTGAAGAAAAGGCAGCCACACGAATGACAAGGAGGAATGACTTGCTGAGTCCCAATCCTGCTTGAAACCAGGAAGCTTTCCTGACCTCCTTCCTGATTCATTGAGGCTGACGTCTGCACACAGCTTACAAGGAACTCGCACAGTTCTCTCCTTTGAGCCTCGTGACAACCCGCTGAGAGAGGAGTTGTTATGAATAAGTTCATGGGCTTTCAGAGATGTTAAAAAATCTGCTCAAGGCCACACAGCTGATAGGTGTCAAAGCCAGACGCAAACTCAGTCAGCACGGCCCAGCACTCGTTTGACACTTCCGTCAGAGTGCTTTACTGTGTCATCTGATTCTCGGCCTCATTCTGCGGCACAGTCCCTTGATCCTTCCCCTTGCCCTCAGGCTAACCCCCATCCCCTCTCTGGCATCATCTTCTCCTCTGGTTAGCCAAGATCCCAGGGTGCATCCATTCAACCCAATCTTACCAGCACCTGTTCTTATCAACGGCCTGGACTCATTCTACTTGGAGTGGACCCACCTTAATAACTTTCACACCTTGAGTCAGCCCCCAACCCTCACCTGGCTTGCTGGGAGCTCTGGGAGGGAATCACAGAACTGTGTGGGTGGAGCCACTACAGATCCACAGGGCAGGCCATGGTTCTGCTGGGCGATAGCCTTTGTGTGTCTCCGGTCAGCTCTCCGTCCTCAGGTCTTCACCTCACTACTGGCCCACCTATTATTACACTTTTCTGTTGAAGAGCAGATGGGGACATCCGCTGTGAGCACCCTCAGCCCCTGTTCTCACCGTCTTCCAGCTCAGCCAAACCTTCCTCAGCCCTCACCTCCTCTCCTCTGGGCTCGGGGCGAGGCGTACGGTCCGTCCAGTCCACTCTTCTCTCCTGTGCTCCCCGGCCTCCCCCAGTGCGTCCTCAGGCAGGCACTCCCCTGCCGCCCTCCCGCCCTGTTGGTTCCTTCCTCGCAGCCCCTAAACGTGCTCCAGCCTGGCCCAGCTCAGACAACTCTCCCGAGGGAGGCGGAGGGAGGAGCCCAGAGTCTGCTTCTGTGGCACAAGCGACATTCTGCTTCTTAGGTTAAACAGAGTGTTCGTGAGGACTTTACCTATATTCTATCACAGGCATCGTTATTACATAATTCAGAGAAATCTGTTTTAATGAAAATAGCTCTCCTTTAACCACGCTACCAGCATCACACTCTTCC